CAAAGACGAGCACCTGTGTAACCCTACCTCTTCAATTTTGAGCCACCAAGTGGCTTTTGGCCAACTAGCCAGGGTTGCTACTCATTGAGCCGACTCCCAGACCATGTGGCCATGGGTCAAAATCCCGTACAGTGAACATCCCAATCCAACCACTAAAATAGGTTCTAAAATGGGGGGTGAATTCACCTAGCAGAAAATGGGATCCAAAACGGTTTTGACAACCACAGCCATCTATAGTAAGTTCCTCCCCTCCCCAAAACTGCCATAGACTGTTTGTCTTTCTCACTGAAACATCAACCCATGGCCCTTCAGAGCCGTTTGGAATCTGGCTTAAGCCATAAACCGCACCCCAATGGATTTTCATGGGAAACAGTGCACAGCTTGTTTGGCAGTTGTTTCTTTAATTTTTTCAGGGGCCCCACCCCACCAACAGCCAGAGCCAACGCGAGCCATGTCAATCCGCCAGTCAGCAAAAGCTCCGCGCCTCTGCCAGCGGCACCTGCGCCCTTGCCCGCGCCGATCGCGGCAGGCGCGGCCGTGTGGATACAACGCTCAGATGAGTCATCAAATCTGGGTAGATGAAGGTCAGTAAGGGACAATCCCAGCCATAAATAGCTGCGGGAATCCGCCTTCTTAATTCTTGAAGCATGGTTCCGGGTGGACCATTTTAGCACCGATCGGTTTTGAGCAAGTGACTCAGATGTCCAAGTCTCACTCAAACTGAGATGGACCTCCTGGAAGGAGAGTGAGGTAAAATCGAAGACTCGGTGAGGGACTTGGTCTGTCTCTGGTTTTGGCGTGTCAAAGGGGCCTAAGGGAAGCCGTCCTTATGGATCCATGGTGAGGAGTTCCAGTCGCGGATTTAAGCGTCATCTTTTCGGGCCGTTCAAAGTGAGTGCCCTTTGGGGGTGACGTTGAGGGCGAGTCGCATAGAGCCACCGTGTTTCCTTGTCTCGGTGGCTCCCAGCCATCCCCTTAGCTTTATAGCCTTTTAGTTTTTGGCGGGAAACTTTTAGAAGGGGATCTGAGAGCAGCCCAGTTTTTGATCATGTCTCAATTTGGTTTTGCACCCCGGAACCCCATTCTAATCAAGGCCCTGCTAGCGCGGTGGATGTGGCTTTCTTTTTTCACCCCAAAAACGAGGAACAAAAAAAACGAGAAAAAAGAAGAGCACAAACGGCCAGGTGTGTCCCTTCACCATTTCGCTCTTTGCAATGTCAAGCTACAGCTTTGTACCTGAGCCCCAAACTGAGGGTCCCAACGGATTGATCGGTACCGAAGAAATCGCTGGATCCCGCGAGGGCAGGATCTGTGCCTAGACCGCCAGGGAAGGGCCTGTTGTCGTTTTCGGATGATGTCCTTTGTTCTTCTTCTCAGAACATCAAGCAAACAAAACAGCCCGCCCGATCCTTTTTTTTCTCCCTGGTCTGGGGGCCGATTTGTTTTCCCACCTGGATCGCCAGTTGCGATCGCCTTTTTTCCCTCCTTTTTTTCCCATGCACCTTGCCCCAAAAGCCGATCGCAACAGTGACTGAAGAAAGCTAGCAACTTGGCTCTCCAGGTTTCTGATCCTGCTTCATGTTTAGTCCACCCTCTTGCATAGTCCCCTGTCTGTGTTCTTTCCAGCACCCGTTTTTTTTGGGCGCGGTTGAGGGCCACCGGTTTGGCATATGTCACCTTGGACTTTGAAGGGCAGAGTTTGCCGCAGCGGTTGGGGTCTTTTGTCGATGGTTGACTCGGTCTTCAGGTCTTCGGGAAGCCCCAATAGCCAGTCATTCAAAGCTTGCTGCCTTTGGCAGTCAACAGTCAAGAGTGTGTGTGTCTGCGTGTTTTGAGGCTGCACTGGGTTAGGTGGGCTGAAAGCTAGGAAGCTAAAAGTTCTTTTGCCGCCGTACCAAGGGTTGGAAACTAGGTCCCCCAGTAGTCCCCTTTTACCCTTTTTTGGGGGAGGGTTCCCCTGCCAAAATAGACTACCGAAAATGTTGGTGCCCTTTTCCTATCCTCTCTACGACCTAGGAAAGGTTCCGTGTTGAAACCCACTTCCTTCGCCAGGCGAGGGCGCGGGCGACAAGGCAGGGCCACAAACGAGCCGAAGGTGACAAGCCGAATCTGGGTGTTTTAGCGAGGGTGTTGACTCAACTGACATGTGGCTGTGCGTTAAAACCAATGGGATCCCATTTTGGGATAGATCACCTCCATTTTAGTGGGATGTTCACTGGGGGTACGGGGTTTTGACCCATGGCCATGTTTGCCTGTGCCTTTTTGGTATTTTGCTTCATTTGTCCTCACCGGCAAACAAGTTCACTTGTTGCAGCGGGTCTCAGTCTAACTGGATATTTTTTAGGGGGTGGGGGGGGGGGGGCTTGAGACAAACCCACTGAAAAACGTCCGGCAGCAAAGCTGCGGGGGGGGAAGGGGGGAGAGGGCGGAGAGGGGGGCTGCTGGATGCCTTTGGTGGATTCTGATCGACTTTGGTTTTGTGCTTGTTTGCAGTCTTTGTTTTCTTGCTGATGTTTGTTCGTTTTGTTTGGCTTTGGTTTTTTGGTTGGTTCTTGGTGTTTTTTTCAGGTTTTTGTTGGTCGCTCTTGGTTTGCAGGCAACCCTCAATTGGTGGTTTGGATTTGGATTTGAAGCCCTGCGTCTTGGGTAAATGGGAAGGAAACCACCTCGTTTCACCACCAAACCACAAGCTTATATTGGTGACATATAAACATCCATACCTCCAACACACATGCCTGACAATGGCCGTTCAAGAAACAAGAGCGAACCCCGAGAAAATCCGTGGTGTATGGTTTCCATTCCGAAGGGAGCAAGTTTTGATCGCAGGTCCTTTGATTGGGTAGCAACCCTGTTGGGAGGGTGAAAAAAGGGGGAGGGAACTGTAGGTTCACGACTTCCCCTCCCATCCACAAACAACCCCACACATATAACACATACGCACACAGACACAGACACAGACACAGACTCAGACACAGACACAGACACAGACACAGACACACACACACACACACACACACACACACACACACACACACACCCCACACACACATACGCACACAGACACAGACACAGACACAGACTCAGACACAGACACAGACACAGACACACACACACACACACACACACACACACACACACACACACACACACACACACACACACACACACACACACACACACACACACACACACACACACACACACACACACACACACACACACACACACACACACACACACACACACACACACACACACACACACACACACACACACACACACACACACACACACACACACACACACACACACACACACACACACACACACACACACACACACACACACACACACACACACACACACACACACACACACACACACACACACACACACACAC